TGATCTAGCACATGCATAATGATCTTTTTTCATAAGACACTTCTGACACTTTCTTTGCACTTAAATTTATAATTACCCTTCTCTAAGTTATGAGAAAAATCATTCGCTAATTTATTAAATGTCATGTAAATTGCAGTCACACTTTATTATATGATTGTGATGCTCATCTCTTTATTGTATTGTGTTGCATTTCAGTCTTATATATGCATTCATAATTTATGAGAATGAAACTCCAGGAAGGTAGAGAAAACGGAGCTGAATGATTTTCGGATATTTTCAGTGCTAGAGGGATTAATATACTATGTAGATAATGATGTGGGACTTCCATGAAGAAAACAGAAATTCAGTTAGCGGGTAGTGAGGTTTAAAAAAAAAAAAAACCGAAAACATTAAAAATGCGGATGTATGTTTCGGATTTAACTGGTAGAAATCGTTTGAATTCAGTCTTTTTGAACTCACTATATTAATTTATATATTAGAGTTCGAACGTTGAATTTTGAGGCAAGCTTTAGTGGTGAAAAATTACAGGAAACATTTCCGGAAAAGTGCACTTTCCAGTAGTTCTTTTTTTTTTCGCTTCCTTGGTAAATTGGTCTCGAATATTTTTTTTTTTGCTCTGTTAATCGAATTTAGTTCAGGGTTTCTCTTTTTTTATTTGCAGTGACTTGTTTCCTTGGTTACTCTACTCCGTTTTCCCTTACCCGTACCTTGACATCTGGAACTGTTTTCATTATCACATTAAAAGTGCGTGAAATGTAAGCTGCAACCTCATTCAAATTATTTTTTTCTTTCTCAGCCATTTTTCTTTTAATTCAAAATGATTGACTTCTTTCTTCGACGATTAAAATACTTTATTGTGAATGGTTGATGAATTAAATTTTCCAAATAAAATTTCGCCTTTTTTAGTTATTTTACTATCAATGATAGCATTGAGAAGAAATGTAAATAGTATACTGAAGTTATTTAAAATAATTTATACATGGAATTATAAAATATACATCTCTATGCATGCAAACATCGCTATAAAAAGATACATGTGAATTTTTGGTTAATGGATTAAGTTTCCCATTATTAATTACTACATACAACAAATGTTAATAACTACAAGAAGTCACAACATTATCATGCATTTCATTCATTTGTCAGTGTATTAGGAACAAGGGTGATTGTTTTTGCGAAAATATAAAGCATAATTTCCACTACCTATTAGACTGGGACGAGAAATTATCGTTTTAATTAATTAAGGTAAGCATATGCAGGTATAACGCAAGCGATTATAACACGGAAGAAGCAGTGATTATTCTTTAATATATCACAATACTCTTATTATTTATCAAATAATTTTAATCATAAAATTAAGAGGCTAGTTGGTTGATATTAAAAATTTTTAACATATTAAAGAATTATTTTAAAAAGAGGGAAGGAGCTATGAAATGATGTAATAGTTTTATTTAATAAACTTTATGATACTATTTTTGAGAGATAAGTGTAAATGAAAACATTTTTAGTGCTATCAGTTGTATTAATTTTTGAAACATATTTATTACATTTTTTTTCTTTTTCTTTTTTTTCTGCTTCTTAAAAATTAAAAAATATCAGAAAATATCATTCATTATCTTTATTCATATTAATCAAAATTATCAATCAAATCATGCAGGAAGGATATGAAAAGTTCCAACTAAATTAATATTTTGATCAATCTGGTGGATAATTCTTTTCTCATAATTAGTTTTATTTCATTTTTTGATGAGTAATTCCAATTATTGATTTGAAATTACAGCAAACTTTTTTACAATTCTGGAATTAAAATTGTTTAAATCAATATAGGTGAACTGCTTTTAAGATGGTAGCCGAATTTTGTTGAAATTGTTTCATTTGGTCGTAATATTTTCATTATAATTGTTCTGTTATAATTCCATTAGTTCTGATGAAGTTAAGTATCATTTTAATTATTTCTTGTGAATTTTGAAGAATGATGAAAAGGTTTTTAATTAACATTACAACTGATTACATATCATCTTTTTATATAAATTTCGGTTTCTTTCCTTTTTTTTTTCTTTTTTTTTGTGTGGGGAAGAAATTCAGCAAAATAGTTTTGAACTATTAAAGTACTTCAAATAATTTACACACAAAAAAAAAACCCAGATACAAAGCGTTAACAGCAATCCGTCTATGATATTATTTAAATCGTACATACCAACTGAAAAACTTAATAATGAAATGAAGATTTTACTGCAAAATTCACAATATTTAAATTAATAAAATTAATGAGGAATTATTTGTATAATGAAAGAAAAAGAAGGTTTAAAAAATATATTGGTTGTTAATTAGTTAAATTAATTAAATTAAAATACAGTCATTTTGATTACTTAATCTTATTAAAATGAACTATTCCTAAAATGTTCAATATATTCATTTAAAAAGAAAAAATTTTCTTTCCTCATTTCTTTCTTTTTTTTTTTTTTGTTTTTTTTCACACATATATCATTGAATGTATTTGTAAAAATCATCCAATATTTAATATATTAAACAATTTACATATTATTTTTTTCAGAGAAATTTTAATATGCTTATTTGATAATAATAATAATAATAATATAATTAAATGAATTTTAAATTTTATACTATTTTATTCAAAAAAAAACTGCATGCATATATCATAAAAAAAAAGTATAAGAATTGCGATTGTATTTTCTAGTGGGTGATATATAATTTTATTACTTCTTAAAAGCATTGAAATGGAATAAAAAATGAAAAAGAAAAAAACATATTTATATGTACGTAAAATGATTTGATCCATTAGTAAAAATGGTCCTTCTCTGCCAATATAAATTTATATAAATTTGTCATTAATGTAATTGCAACTAGGCACAAAAATCTCAAATGATAGACATAAAAATTAGCTTGGATGAATTAAATTTAGGTTTATCAGCAAAAAGAAAAAACGAAAATTTTTCATAGTGTATCAAATTAAGAGGAAAAAATGACTATAAATATTCACTCAATCATTCACTCATTCATTTTACATTTTCATATTAGTCTTCAAAGAAAAAATAAATTCTTTTTATTATCATCAAATATTTTATGAATACCATGCATGATTATAACAATTTCTAAGATTGTTTCAGACAATAAAATTTATCATTTATTACTTTGATGTTATCAATAATTATTATCATGAATCAATATCACATGTATATGATATTCATCATATGATTTTTTTTTAATTTGCCTAAAATTGGAAGTTATAATTTTTTTTAAATTATCATTTTATGTATAATTGTAATTCCTATTTTTTCTAAATTGCCGCATTATTTAAATTATGATTCCCAATTTTTTTAAATTAACATTTTGTTTAAAATTATAATTTCTAATTTTGTTTTTTAATTTTTTTATATTATGATTTTGTCCAAAATTATCATTCTTATTTATCACAAAAAATTTTAGTCAATTTTTCCTTTTCTTTTAAGCATAAATAAATGTCATTTAAATTTCATTTTGGTTATTTAGTTTTATCATTTAAAAACAAGCAAAAGAAAGAAAGCTAAAACTAAATTAGGAAACTTCATCAATTTTCTTTTTCTCATCTTCTTCAGACTTGCATTATTTACCTTGAACCTATAAATAAGCAAAACAAAAAAAAGAGAAGAAATACAATTTGTAATAATAAATAGCAAAAAATGAAAATATTTTAAATTTCGACAAATTTCAGTTTTCTTATTATTAATAATGTTGTTTTGTTGCTTACATTCTTTGTAATAATATTATTTTGTTTACTGTTGTCATTTGTTTATTGTTCTTGTTATTTGTTTGCTGTTGTTGCTGCTTCTATTATATTAATTTACTAGCATAATTATTTTCTTTTTTAGTATAAAGATTAGTTCAAATAATTCCATGACAACTAATAATTTGAATTTAATGCAATAATAAGACATTTCTAATTGTTATAATCAAATTTGAAATCTGAATTATTACATTTATATACGGTTATAATTTGATAATTTCATCATTGTTAAGCATTTTAAATATCCAATAAATTCCTAACATTTCTATTCACCCAGTAATTTTATCACCTTATTTTCGTTTTCTTTCTTTTTCGTTCCATGTATTTAAATTTATTAATTCACAAAAATATAAATTTACAAGATATTTTTAAATTGTTGATATTTATACTCTTTCTTCTTATTTTATTATTTAAATAGAATAATTTTCCTTTCTTTTTTCCTTTTTTATTAGAAGAAATATTATTTTATTCAAAATATTTTCCCATCAATATAATTTTATTGATACTAAAATTGAAATGATTTTTTTTTTCAATGAAAAAAGAAATTAAAAAGTTAGAGGTTTTTCTAAAATAATTTTTCCTTTTGATACATCACAACAATAATTAGGTTAATCTTTTCAAAATTTGAATTTAACTAAATATCAGCAATTTTAACAATTAGCTAAGCAATTCAAATATATAATCAAAAACGATTTTTTTTTTAATAATAAAAATTAATACAATGAAAAAATAAAAAATCAGTAACATATATATACATATATAATCATTGTGATCACACTTATACTAAATAAATAACTATGAACCGGTGAGAATCGTTTTCAGAATTAACGATTAATCATTTTTACCCATAAAAATAACTACAATTCTTTTGTTGCATATAATGTAAGTTATAATCACCATTAAAACATAGTAAAATATGTTTGTTAAATAATTGAAAAATTATTTTGTTGTAAAATTGATATGGTTGATCAGTAATTTTAGCATTTTATTTATTTATTTACTTTTTGCTTTCTTTCTTTTTTTCTTTTTAACGAAAAGTTTATACTACTACAATTAAAATTTAAAATTTTGCATATTACATATGTGTGTCTTTGTTTGATTATTCATTTTAAAATTATTCAATTAGATAATTTTTTCATTTATAGATTTGAAAATGCTTACAATTGCTTTTCAATCAATGAATTATTTGCTTATAGCATTGATATGCATAACGTTGATGCATTCATTGGGATCAACAGGAATACGTACATTTCAAACTGAATGTAAAGTTTAAATTTCATTTTTCTTTCTTAGTCATTTTAAATTTATTAACAAATTTTTTAACTTTTCCTTTTGTTGCTCTTATCCCCTTTATTTTTTATTCCAAATTTCCATTTGTTCATTGCATATTCACTTTAACAGAATTTTTTTTGCTAGTTGTTATTTTGCTAAATTGAAGAAAAAAAATTTTTTTTTCAACTTAAAGAATGGAAAAAAAAAGGAAACGACTCAATTAAAGCGGTAACAATCAAGAAGTAATAAACAGTGAAATAAATAACTGAAATGAAATTATTTAATGGATGAAAAAGTCTATAAAGAAGTTTTTTCTAGAAATTTTTTTTAATATACAAATATATTAATTAGTTTTTGTTAATTATTTTTTGCGTAAATTAACAAATAAGACACGTTATAGTTTTCTCAAGTCTTTTAAATTAAAAATATCACTTTTTAAAATTCAGGAAAATTTTAGTTTTTATATTTGATTAAGAATTTTGCTCAATTAATTGAAATAATAATTATAATCAATGATTAAAGCAAAAATAAATTCAAAAAATGATGATGCTGGTAATGACGACGATAGTTACAAATTCGCAAACAACTTTTTGTTTAAATTTTTGAAAATTTTTTAGTTGATAAAAAGATAAGTTACCATCGATTAAATCAATGTGGTGAATTGTTTTACATTATTTGCTATGAAAATTAAATTTAAAAAAATGTTCAATATTGCTATCATTATTTACAAATGTTTCCATATTTGCAATTAGAGAAAGAAATAAAAAATCGATTAACCATCAGTTAAATTATATTAATGAATTCAAATAAGTATTTCATATTGATAATATAATTGCAAATATTTTATTTGATTTCCGCTTATTTCATACAACTAACATACGTAAAATTGCCTACAAAGAAAAAAAATCCTATCAATTCTTTCTTCATAATTTAATTTTTTTCGTTTTAATTTTAAGACTATTTCAAGAATTCAGTCTTCACTAATTGTTTTTCAAAGTTTTTTTTAACATTTCAAATTTTTTATTTCTTTATTATTTTTCTTTCCTGCCAAACAAATTTGCAGGCAAATTAATCAGCTGCCGTATGACTTAATTTCAGAAATTTTTTCGAAAATTTGATACTTTTCAAATTTTTTGTCTTTTCTACACAGTTTTTTTCAGTCTACACTTAATAAATACAATTGATATTAATTTTGTAAATAGATAAACGATTTACTTTTAAAATAATTATGTTTATTTTTAATGTTAACCATGATATTATCAAAAAAATACATGATTTCATTTTTATGTTATCATCTCTATTTAAGTTATTTTTTTCCATATCTTACACATTTCCACGAAATTTTCACTTAATAAGTTGATAATTGTCAATGATAATATACGTAATTGTGATATATAAATAAAAATATTTAATTTAAAAAAAAAAAAAAAAACATATGTAGATGATATAACACAAGCTGAACGACGAAATCAAAATATGATGGATCATTTAGTGAGAGACAGTAATGGGTTTGGAAGAGCTGATTATGCCTTTGGTAGAACTGCTCGTAATGATGTAAGTTTTAAAGTTTCTGATATCATTTTTTTGAAAAAAAAAAAAAAAGAGAGAGAGGGAGAAGGGAATGAGAGAGGAGGGAGAGTGAAAATCAAATAAAAATTTGATTAAGATAAATGAAAGAAAAAGAAAACTTTTTTAAAAAATTAAGAGAAAAGAAAATTGAAAAATTCAAGATTAAATTGCATCTATTCAAATTAATAATTTTCGAGTTTTTCATAAAAAATTCATTACAATTTAATTAAAATTATTAATTAGTCATTTTTATTCAATATTTTTGAAGAAAAAAATTTTTTTTTTCGAACATTTTTTTTTTTAAACATACAATGAGCAATTCATAAATACTTTGCACTATTAAGCATAAAAATTAATCACAAACATAAAGCAAAAAAATTTTTCTTAATGAAAACAGAATTTTATTTTTAAGTAATAAAAAAAATTATATGATATTAAAATATTAGTAAATTTTATTTTATAGGCTTTCCAAACAAGTCCATTAATTCGTTTTGGTAAACGGTACATGATGGATGATGAACATTCAGAAGTAATAGCACACCTTCTACAGCAATACCTTCAACAACAACAATACTTTGATCAATCAAATCGTTCTCCTCGTTAATGCATTTAAAATTTGATGTATTAAATGATTAAATAAAACAAAGAGAAAAGAAAAATAAAACAAAACGAAAAACAATAAAAAAGAAAAAATTAAAAAATTCAGTTAATTGGTAAAAATTTTTAATTACTTCCAAAAAAAAAAAAAAAAAAATTATATAAATGAATAAATTCATTCCATTAAAACAAAACATTTCATCAATTATTGCAACAAAATTTTAATAATGAAATTGTTTGAAAATTTATAAATGCTTATTATTATCATAAAATCATTCCAACATAAATTCATTTCATTTTTATTTAAACCGTAAATACAGTTTACACCAAATGTTTTTAAAAATAATTATAAATTATGATTTTAGATAACAATCTATTCTTTTTCAATATTTGATCTATTATACACATATTTATATCATTTAATAAGATAAAAAAGGAAAAAAAAGAGTGAAATAATGATGATTGTGCAAAACAGTATTTGAAATAAAAAATGAAAGGATTATAATAAATATAAGAAGTAAAAAAATTTGTCATTAAAAAATGTTTTTTATCATTATCACTAAAAATTAAAAAAAAAAAAAAAGGATAGAATAGTTTTCAGTAAAGACCTTTTTCTTTAGCAGCTAATTATCATGCTGCTTAGTTATAGAAAGAAAAATATTATAATAATGATAATATCAAACGTAATAATAATAATAATAAAAGAAAATAAAAAACATGATGGAGTTATACAAATATTCAGAGATCGTAGAAAAAATTTTGCACATTAAAATTTGCAACTTAATTTCACATTTTTACAACTTGAGAAAAAGAAAACGGGAAAAAAAGGAAGGAAACAGAAGCAAAAATGCACACAATTATTTATAATTATAACGACAATAATAACAACAATTATTGCTATTATTATTACTAATAATTTCCCGTTTTAGGCAAAAATAACGAAGTGTTAAAAAAAAAAAAGGTAAGAAAATTTATTTAATAAAAGAAAAGAAAATGAAATTATACAGCTGAATATCGTAAACTTAAATTAATATTATTACGATAGCTTTCTTCATCGTCATCAATGATATTTGTTGATGAATCATTTTCACGATAAAGTACCATTTCAATTTCATCCACTTGAAGCAATGGAAGAACTAAATCACAATCCAAATACTGCAACGATGTATCATTTATCTGAAATATGAATATCAGTAAAATGAATTTATCAGTAAAATTTTCATTGATAAATGCTTGCCACAAATTTGATTATGATATAATTACGTCATCAAACTATCCAATAGCTTTTTGTTCAAATGGTTTTTTAAAAAAATACGAATTTTCATTTCAAAAAAAAATTAAACAAAAATTTAAAAATTGATGTAAAAAAGAAGGAAAAAAAGGTTTTTAAAAAGTGAAAGAAAAGAAAGCTATAAACCTGTAAAATTTTATCATATGGTAAAATTTGGCCACATCTATCTGCTGGACCACCTGGCAAAATTTCATTGATAAAAACTCCAGCATTATTACCAATACCATCTGATACGCTAAATCCAAAACTATTCGTTGATGGATCCTTTAAAAAACAAAAAAAAAAAAATAATTCATTGACATATAGAATAATTTAATTAGTACTTTAAAATTCATTGATATTTGAAATTTCTATAATAATTATTGAAATGTTTTTTAGAAACAAAAAAAATCAAATTATTTTATATTGTGTGCGCAATAAATTACCTAGGTCAGTTAATTATATGCATGATTAATTATGAGATTTATATCATGTTTCCTTCGTTTTTAACAAATTTAAAAAAAGGATATTATTAAATTTCTAAAGATTGTTTTATTTAAGGCACTGTAAAATTTTTAATAATTATAAATTGTTAAAAATTTGATTCGTTTTTCTTTTTTCTTCAAATAAAAGATTAAAACTAACTTTACGTAACCGAATTTGATGAGTTGTTCCACTTTTAGTTGCTGTAAATGTTTTACTGCTAAGTTCATGAAGTACAAGTGCTGTAGATGGTGGTGACAGTTTGATATTTTTTGACTGAAATAAAAAAGAATAAAAGGAAAGAAAAATTTTTTAGTTATTTTATTTTAAATTTTTTTTTGCTTATTAAATAATCACGTAGTTAAAGCTTTGAAATGACTTTGATAAAAACTTTTAAATCAAAAAATTTTCATTTGCTTCTCTTTTTTTTTAAAAAAAAATAATATGTCATTTTCTCATATAGAATGAACGAAATTCAATTTACTGATTAGCAATTTTATACAAATAATAATCTGAAATTTATTGTCTTCGAAATCAATTAAAATTTACACATTTAGAAGTGAAATTTAAAATTATAAATGAAACATTTATATGTTTTACACATGTAATCAATTACCCAAGATAATTCGTGCATTGAACGCGGTGATAAACCACGACCTGAAATACTATTCCTAACATTTGACGGTTCTGATAAAACTGATAAAGCATGCTGTATATCACTAATACCATAACGTGGTGGTTTTGGTGGTACAATATGATATGATATATCACCAAGTGATGTACTAGTTTGTGAATCATTTGAAAGGCTTAACGAATCCATTCGATCAGTGCTAGAATATTCGCTTTCTGCAAAATATGCAGTATCAAATGTAAATTACATGAATATCAACTAATAAATTAATAATAATAATAATTAATAATAATAAATGACAGTAAATAATATTAATAATAAAGCAAACAGATAATAAATAAAATAATCGTAATAAATATTAAAATAAAGCAATTTAAAAAAAATAGATTAATTAATAAATAAATAATTTAGAAAAAAATCCTATACAAATTCATACGTAAATTACATGAATATAAATATAAACTAACAAATTAATAATAATAAGTGTTAATAATAAATAATAAAGTTAATAATAATAAAGCAATAAATAAATAATGAATATTAGTAATAAAGCAAGTTAATAATAAATCAAATAATAATATAAAATATTAATAATAAAATTAATGATAAAGCAATTTAAAAAAATGGATTAGTCAATAAATAAACAAACAGTTACAAAAAGTCTTTGCATTAAAATTATTTTTCCTTCCTTTTCTTTCGTTAAAACAAAGACAAAAAGACAACAAATTATTTTTAATTAATGTAACATTAAAAGTCAGTCATAAAAACATACGTTGTGTTCCGAAATTTGTGAATTTCGGGTTTGCGGAAGGTGATAGCAGAGGACGAACTAATGCACCTGTCGTTGATGATGTAAACGGATAAAATTGTCGTCCAGTGGTAGTAGCAGTGGTATCACCACCACCACATGGTAAACGTAAATCAGAACGTTGAACAACAGTAGATTCATTACATCTATAAATAAAATTATTTTTTATTAGTTTAAATTTTAAATGATTTAAAATCTGTAGGTAATGATTAATAATTTTAAGGAAAATGTTGTAATGAATACAAAAATAACTGGTCAAAATCAAAATTATTTAAATATGTAAGCATTATTGTAGATAATATGAATTCATATATATTTTCCCTCCTTTCCCTCTCTCTCTCTTTTACCGATAAGAAAGGTAAATAAAAATTTTCTAAAAGATAAATATAAACTAATAAAATAAAAGATTAATTAGCCCTTTTTTTTCATTTATCCTAAAGTTTTGTTTTCAAAATTTATAAATTTGTACATAAAATTTATACAAAAACTTTCTTTTATCAATCAATTAATTTTAATTTATTCGTTGCCGTTGTTAATACCTCAAAAAAAAAAAAAAATGCTTACATTAAAAAAAATGATAATTGATAAATTTAATAGTATGCATATATAATATATTTATATTGCTTATTTTTATTTGATCATTTCATCTTCAAACGTAATTTTATAATAAGTATAATTTTAATATATATTGTTCATTTTGTTTATTTTTTGTTTTCTGACACTTCTGTTTTTCTTTTTTCACCATTTCACCCCTTTAATTTATTGATATAAAATTAGAATTTAATTGTATATTAAGTTTTTAAAAAGGTTCTAAAAAAAAATACAAACATTAACCTAGTTATTAAAGGATTACTATGAACTTTTATCGTTCCATTACCGCTTCCACTTGTGCATTCCTCTAATTTCTGAAGCATTGCTGCTTCACCAACTGTTTCAAGTGCTTCTAATACTTCAATCCTAAATCATTATAATATTCAAATTTTATTTTTAATATTCACTTTGTTTTTGTTTTTTATTTAAAAAAAAAAAAAAACATGGAATAGAAAGAAAGAAGAAGATAAAAAAGTATAATAAATAATAAAAATGGAAGAAAAAAGGATAAAGTTATTTCACAAGAAAAGGTAAACAAAGAAAGAACGAAAGAAATTTTTTTTTCGTTTTGTCTATTAAATTTTATAAATAGTTACATTTAAAAGATAAAAGAAAAAAAATCGAATAAAATAAAGCGCAAAATTTTGTCAATTTTTTAGGGATAAGGTGGAAAAAAGGAAATAAAAAGCTCAAATCTTCAAATTCTTAAGGATTAAAAATAACATATTGTTTAAGAGAAATGTAAATATTTCAAAAAAAGCTAATATAATATGTATATATACCAGTTTTCCGGTTCTAAATTTGTATTTTTATGACAATTACATCGTTCTGGAAGTGATTTATCTGTAGCCAAGCTTAAACTTTTTTCCCATTGTCCTTGTCCATGTTGCTCTACCCAACATAAACCTAAAATTGATCAGCTTTTTAATATAAACTGAAAATTAATTTTTCAGGAAAAAAAAGGAAATATTTTTATTTTCATATTTTATTTAATAACAGTTTTGTTTTTACATTCTAAAAAGTATGGTGAAAAATTATTTTAATTTTTCAAAATTTAAAAATTTTTTTGACAGAATATGCATTAACCAGGCTTTTTTCGTGATTCACCACTGAACGGAACGGTTAATCCGGAAGGAAGTGCACTACTACTCGGATAAGTTATTCGTTGATAATCAATCGACTCTTCAACTGTAAATTAATATTTCATTTGATTAATTCTAGTAA